TGATGAGATGATGAGCTGCTTGTGCGTAAAATCGTATCCCCTCAGAGTTTGTTCAAGTCCACAAACCTCTGTCTGTGACGGAGCCCCTCAGACATGGCTCCTCTAGTCACTAGCAGATTCCGACAGTGGTTGCTTTCGTAATCGCTTCCAACATAAAAGCTCCTTAACGGAAACACGTCTTCTGGACTCTCTGCGTGACAGTTCCGGCGAGGAGTGGGTGTTCTTACAGGAGGTCCTGAAACCTCCCCACTGTTTTCGCTGGAAGTGTCTCTGAGCCATCCCTCCAGCTCAGCTCCTCTCCCCCTGCTGGTTCCCTCTTCAGCTGCTGCGTCTCTCCCAACCTGTGTGAGCCCTTTCACCTCCCTGCTGGTTCCCTCTTCAGCTGCTGCGTCTCTCCCAACCTGTGTGAGCCCTTTCACCTCCCTGCTGGTTCCCTCTTCAGCTGCTGCGTCTCTCCCAACCTGTGTGAGCCCTTTCACCTCCCTTCCGTCCGATGGCAGTTCCCTGACATCCACCCCCCTCCAGGGCCCCCTTCACCCCCTCTCGCCCCCTCCTCTACGGGCGGTGAGGAGGCAAAACCCGGAATGAACTTCCTTCATCTTCCGATGTCTCGAACACTTCTCTCAACCTGTTGCGGTTCCTGGTCTCGAAGTACACCTCCTCCTCAGAGTCCATCTCCCCTTCCCCTTCCGAGTCCGGGAATCCTTCCAACTCCTCCCCCTCATCAGTGGTCCCAAAGTATTCCCTCCGGAACCTCTCCACAGGCTGAGGTTTCCTTGGGAACCTTTGATGGAACGTTTCTATCAATACCTCGTCATTGATATCTTCGGCCATTACCCAAGTGTTTTCTGACTCCGGTTCTCCTTCCCACGCTACCAAATACTCCACCTGATCCCCCTTCCACCTGGCGTCGAGGATTTCTGCCACATGGCTGCTGCATTCTCTTTCTTCTATGACCGGTCCCGAGTGGCCAGCCCTTCTCGTCCCCCTTCGTACGGTGACAGTAACGACCTGTGAAATACTGGGTGCAGTTTCATGTGGTTGGGTAACCGGAGCCTGAAAGCCACTGGGTTGACCTGTTGAATGACCTCAAAGGGACCCAACCTCCTGGGTCTTAATTTCTTACAACCTCCTTTGAACGGCAGCCCTTGGGTTGACAGCCACACCCTATCTCCCACCCTTATGGTTTCACCTTCCCTTCGGTTCTTGTCTGCCTGCCTCTTGTATTCTTCCTTCGCCCTTTCTAAGTTGAGTTGGAGCTGACGATGGATTGCTTCCATTTCTTCCACAAAATGCTCGGCTGCCGGGACGCTCCATCTCTCCCCATCCCCCCTGGGAAAGCCCTGGGATGACACCCATAATTAGCCAAGAAGGGGCTCATCCCTGTGGACACATTCTCGGCATTGTTGTAGGCAAATTCCGCCAGCGCCAACTTTTCTACCCAGTCATTCTCTCTGTCATTGACATAACACCTCAGGTATTGCTGGAGGACACCGTTTGCTCTTTCCGCCTGCCCGTTGGTTTCAGGGTGCCGGGCAGTCGAAAAATTGACCTCCACCTGCAGTAAGCTCATGAGCTTCCTCCAGAACCTGGAAGTAAATTGTTTTCCTCGGTCTGAGACCACCCTCAATGGCACCCCGTGCAACCTAAAAATGTGTTCTACAAATAACTCGCTGTCTCTTCCGCCGTGACTGCATGCGAGCAAGCTACAAAGTGGCACATCTTTGTTAGTAGGTCTACCACCACCATGATGGCTGTTTTCCCTTTGGACTTCGGCAGAT